AGATAACATATTTGAGACCTCCCTCAGAAGAGCAATTCAGATGGTATATTGATTTTTAATAGTTCTGTAAAATCAAAGTGCACACGATCAGCCCTGATAAAATCCTGGAACCTCTTGGTAACTGGCCTGCAGTGACTATACCATCTCCTCCAGAGGGCTGAGGTGCGGGTAACTCTGACCTTCATTACAGCAAGAGACTGTCCCCTGGTGGCGGTGAGGTGGATAGGATCACCATTCTGAGAGAGAACCAGATACACTGCTGTCTTCCTCCATTTCCATATTCTTCAGACCTCACTACTTGAGAGAGAATGTTAATTTTTATTTTAATCATAAGAAATATCCCCTACTTAAGGGATAACATAACATAATTTGTTTTAAATTTAAGCCAACTTTTCTGGAAGGAATTTATTCCTTATATCACAAAAAAATTTCTTACAATAAAACTTTTCTAAATCCTGCAAAATCACACATTGTGAAGCCTCCAATAAATACATGAATCAAAAATTTAAACTTAAAATAATTTAGCAAAATATCAAGTCTTTGGCACACTGATTCAGATTTCCTCATTAAAATATTGTTTCAAACTGGGTAAACTTGAGTCAAACTGTTGACAAATGCACATGCTTTTATGATCCTTAAATTTAAAAATCTGACTTTTAAATAAAAATCTAGAGTGCCTAGAAAAAATTTGACTTAGAAAAAAAATTTTCTGTAGACCATAAAATGTGAGTTAGAATTAGGTTCCTGTACTTAAGTATCTTTATGTGATTTTATTCCTAAATGTATTATGAATAATGTAAAAAGTCACCAAGTATAGCCATTCACACTGCAGAAAGCTTATATCACGTAAGTTTTAAATCCGGTTACGTGGCACCGCCTCTAGAAACCCAGCACTTCCTTTTTATGAAAAAACAAAGCATCTAATTTTTCAAGGATTTTGCTAGAGCCTTTCAATGGGCTCTTTTCAACACAAGTAGAATTTGCTTCTGACCAGCTAAACTGTCGATGAAAACTTGAGCTAAAGCTCTCTCAGTCTAGTGAATCCATCTGGTGTGGGTTTTAACTTCCAGATATCCTGGAAAAGGTCACACTAAACCACCTAATTCCTAGATACTTGTAATTTCATTTTCTTCAATAAAAACATTAAAAATAGTAATTGGAGTAAAAATACAGTGTTAATGCCAGTAAGGCACAAATTGCTACATGAAGGTGAATTGCACCGCCACATTTCATATCCAAAAATCACTCTCAAATTCTGAGCTGGATCCATTTTAATTGTAAGTTTCAGAGATGGATTGTACAAAATCTAAGCAGAAGCACCTGACAATTTTCTCTCCTATTCCCATGTAAAATCCAATTCATATTTCTGAGTACAAAAGCCAAAAATAATCTTATGTACACACAAACTATATGTGTATGTTTATACTATATACTATGTGTATATATAGGCACATAAGATTTTCTTATTGTGTTTATATGAATTCTTATTGCATATGTATTAATTCTGAAAGCTTTGTGAAATCTACCATAAATCTGAAAAATGTCTAGCATGGATCAATTACATATGAATGTCAAGTAAAACTCATACAAGTTTCATTGGTGAAGGGGATAAACCATCACGATCACATGATGTCTATGTTACTGCATTTATTTGCCTCTTACCACTGGATTGTTTGTTGTGGAGACGAACATCTTTCTCAGTATGTCTGTTCCCCATCTCGAACGTCAAGGGCAGAGGTTTTGTCTTTTTATTTGCCTTATTTAGTACCATGCATAGTAAATTTCAGTATATTCTGGAACAATAAACTACGGATACAAACTACTCAGACTATCTGGGTTTTAACTGATCCCTAAAATCCTAGGGCAGAGGAGGGTAAAGCTACCCACAGAGACCATCAAATATACCAAATGACTCGCTGTTGGGTGTTGTCCAGAAACCAACCTGTTGGATTTTGAGATTTTATTTATTTATTTTTTCCCCCCAAAGCCCCAGTAGATAGTTGTGTGTCATAGCTGCACATCCTTCTAGTTGCTGCATGTGGGACGCGGCCTCAGCATGGCCGGAGAAGCAGCGCGTTGGTGCGAGCCCGGGATCCGAACCCGGGTCGCCAGCAATGGAGCGCGCTCACTTAACCACCAAGCCACGGGGCCGGCCCAACCTGTTGGATTTTGAAGACTGGAGATCGGCTTTATCTTTCAGGGAGAAATTGGTTGCCCTGGTGACTACATGCCTTAATGCAAAATTTCCCCAAATCTTCAAACTCCTCTTTGGACTCCAGTTTGGTATTCTACTAACTTAAAGAAAACAACCAAATTTATGATTTGGTCTAGGGGATAGCCCAGACAGTACTACATTAATACTGCCTTTAACTCCATTTTAAAAGCAAGAGTTGAACTCAGGATAAAATAACTGACACATGAGATCAGTCTTCAGCCGTGTTACAGGCCCTAGCTCTCTGACAAGTGATTTAAGAAAAAAGTAAAGGCATTTAAGATTTCATTCTCTCTGTGAAGGCAAGGAAACCTTAAGTTATGGTAAGTCACAGTAAGTCTGGGACACCAGGCTCACACTTGTCATGTACCGACACCAGCTACAACTGAGACAGCAGAAGTTCTGGAAATGTAGAATAGATCACTGTGTTTGGGGAATATCTTCGGGATAATCTGGGAATAATCTGTTCTGATTCTGTTTAAATTTGCTTCAATTTTAAAACTAGTTAAAATGGGCCGGCCCTGTGGCTTAGTGGTTAAGTGCGTGCGCTCCGCTGCTGGCGGCCCGGGTTTGGATCCCGGGCGTGCACCGACGCACCGCTTCTCCGGCCATGCTGAGGCTGCGTCCCACATACAGCAACTAGAAGGATGTGCAGCTATGACATACAACTAACTACTGGGGCTTTGGGGGAAAAAATAAACAAATAAAATTAAAAAAAAAATAAAACAAAACTAGTTAAAATGTTCTATGTTCAGCTGATTTTTTACTTATTTATTTTCCAATAGAAGAGATGCATAGAAGGGCAAGTTTACAAAAACACCGAACAGTATTTTATGAGTGAATGTCTACAATACAACATCCGTACTCCCAGAATGCTGCTTTAAGTACAGCAGAACTCCAAACTCTAAAATTTTCATTTTTCTTCTTGAACGAATTTCGATACACCTTAGTTCTTACACAAATTTCCAATATGCTACATATTAAAAATGTTCCAATCTTGATGAGTATTAAACATTTTATTTAGAGATTTTAAAGTAAAAAAAAGGTACACAAAGACAGATTACATTATGATGACCAAGGCAGTATTCTACATGACAAAAATCAAAACAAAATTTAAAAAGTAAATGTACAGGCACTAAACAAGCAAAATACCTGATATCCAATACAGGCTGCATACACATAAAATGACCTGGCCACATGCTTATGCAAAATAAATTTTTTCTTAGAACACCAAAATTCCACCATTCTGTCAACTGCCTTATTCCCCTGGTGAGCATTTTGAGAGAACTTCCATACAATATGAAAAGAATCGGCATGGCACTTAAAGACTACAAACAACAGAACACAATTAAAAACATTTTTGTAATGTAATTCTGTATAAAATATATACAGTAAATGTTATTAGTTAAAAAAAAAGATTTAAAAACAAAAGACCACCCTGAATAACAGTTAAAACCTCATCACAGAAAAATGCTTGTCTTTTGTAACATTATTGATTAAAAAGTTGATGGATTTTTCTTTTGAGGGGATATCTAACTTGTAGAAGTCATTTATTCAAAATTTATTTAAAATTGTAGGTAAGATAGTAACTCAGGGCCTACCCCTCCTCAAAATGTTTTATCATGAATATTCATTCTGATATTTAACTACAAGACAAAGTAAAAGAATAAAATAAAGAAAGTGTTTCTCAAAATGAGGTCCAAAGCCCCAAAGGAATTCTAAGGTGGGCTCAGTAATGTGCATTTTAAACAAATTTCCTAGGTGATTATTCTACATTTTAAATCTGAGAACTAATGCCCTAGGAGAAACAGCACCACTTAAAAGCAAGATCACAAACACATTTCTGACATAAGATGTCAGAATTTTCTATAGGGTTATGATTTGAAGTGAATACTGCTTTTTGTTTTAAAACAACTTTCAGGTATTAAGAGAAACGTATATACATGTTAAATAAACATATGAATGTATATAAACATTTTCCTTTGAGGTTTTCATTGCTCTCAGACTTAGTTATTTGAAGAAAAAAGAGCACACGGCCAGAAACTTTGGAAAAATTACATTTCTAATGAAATGTAGCATCCAAAAAATATATATATAATTTATTAAATGCCTACAAATTTTAAATCATTCTAAATTTAAGACTAGATAACTTCCCCTCAAATTAAATTTTACTAAGATTGGGCAAATGGAAGTAATTTAAATGATTCTGGTTACTTTATAAGTCCCTTTTCATAAAAAAATATTTAAAATAACAAGAGAAGAATGCTATCTCTGGCATCCCTTTAAATAATAAATTGCTAAATACTAATATTAATAAAAAATAATCTGAAGAACTCTGCCCCTGAAATGTACCTCCTCTGTGTTACATGTGTTGCCTACTTCACAAAAGCTCACTGAAGGAGCTGGAACTGTGATGTGTGTGAGTATATGTGTGTCCTGAACATTTATTCATATTTACTTTATTATTTTTCTTGGATTTCATTGAAGACTCCATAAACAGGGTCCAAAAGTATGGATAATGTGTTTAGGGGGAAGAAACGAGCATGGTTAACACACTATTTGAAAGAGAAATTCTTTTCCTGTATACTAAATTATAAGGAAAAAATAGTATACATTCTGTCTCCACTGGATAAATGGAATGCTTTTCCCAGTTTGGTAACAAGTGAGTGCCTCCTTATTATTTAAATCAAATTACAACAAGCAACTGTGGGATTTACTCTCCCATAAGAAATAAATATTACCATTGCACTTTTTTGGATCTATTTTAAATTTCTATTTTTTCCTTTCTATATACTGAGAGATTTTCTATTCAATTGCATTCTGGATCCTCTGAACTATATTTGTTAACATTCCAGTTAAAGTCCTGGCTGAACAGACAAGCTCAGAAGCCAACCCCTTAATATACTAAAGAAATCACTTGCATCAGTTTTTCAAAAATAGCTAATGATTTGGAATCTGATTCTTAATAAAATGTGCCTATTTTATTCCTCAAGGAGAATCTGCATTCCCCAATTCTAAGCAAGCAACACCTTTTATTACCAATTTAATAACTGTCGCCTTAAAAATCAACAATTATCCAAGGCAATGATAAAATTTAAAGCTAAATTTTTAAACACAAAGAACTCAGAAACTAATAGGTAACATAACAAATTGCCGTATTTTGAATTAATCTTTTATTCCAAAAGTAAACACTTAAATGACTTAAAATGACAAAAATCACGGGAGGCTTATGATGCAATCCCACCATGTGCCTTAATGAAACAGATACCCAACTCTTTTTAAAAGCAGTGATAAATATTTCCTTTAAATGAAAAGGACAACTTCATTATTCATCAGTAGGCTGCTGGATTACCAGTGTAACTAATTTTGACACGATTGTCTGGAAACTAGTTTCAATTTTCTTTCATAGTTAAACTTAGATGTAATAATTGGCTCTTACAGTCAACAACAGAAGATATTGAGTGCTTTTTTGTCGGTGGCAAATATAAAATGTATCCAGGCTAGTAACAAGTTAATCCATGCATTAAATGGCAACAAGCAAAATGCATAGTTGAGAAATGAGGATCAGACACATTCTTCTGCAGACATCAAAAGGGGATTGATATACTCAAAACCTTCAAATTCAGATTGATCAATCTTCCTCACAATGTCACTGTTGAAAGAAAAATAATTTTCATAATCAAGATTTCTTCAACTGTTTATTTAAATGGTAAAATAAGGTTAAGAAAGAAAAATAAGGCTAATTTATATAAATTATGGAAAAAAATTTTTACAAGTTTTTAGATTAATCCCAAAACATTTTCCAGAAGAATCAAGAGTATTGAAAATCAAAAAAGACTAATAATCCCACAAGCAAGTTTAGAACCAAAAGGTAGTCCAAAACTGAAGACTGAGAATAAAAAAGGCACAAGTTGTCACGATCCTAGTTAATCGTAACTTTTGACCTGAACAACATGCCTAATTATAGGTGAACATCCAGGTCTGAATTAGTATTCAATTTAGTAGTCACTTCAATAGCCAGATGGAATATAGCAAAGAGAAGGCCCAGAAGAAGTTAACCAACAGGAAAAGACAATAGGAACAAGTAAACTGAGAGACCTGGAAAAAGGAGAGACCACCACAGGGAGGTAACGGGTCACAGGGAAGGGAGAGATTGGCATTCTGTTACACTATGCTTCTGGTTAATATATAGTAAGAGTAAGTAGTACAATAGAATATTTTAATACTTAAATGTACACCCCACACTGCAGAGCACAAAGTTACACAGGATATAGTCCCTTCCTTCAAGAAGGGAAGGTACCTCACATAACAGCAGAAAGCTACAAGAGAAAGCAGTACCTGCTAAGTTTCATATGGGACAAGCTAATTCCTGTTCTAACCAAAGTTCTAAAGAAAAGGGTGACTTCTAGCTGGAAAAATCAAGAAAGGCAGCATCCATTCCACAAACACTTACTGAATGGAATTATGAAAGATTACAGTGGTTCTAGGAGAATGCACGTAATTTATTAGAGGTGGAGCACAGGAACAGAAGGGTGTTAAGTGGCAGATGATGCTGGAAGGAAAGTCATGGCTGGCTCAAAGAAGCCAGTGATGTTTACACTAAGAAGTTTCACCTTGACCCATCAAAGATCTGGTTGCATGTGAGGGAGCTCTGAAAGATGGGGAAGACTTCAATAGGTTAAAATGAAGGAGGAATAGAGAGGAAACAGCATGAGCAAGCACGCTATCAGGGAATGGTGAGTAACAGACTGATCAGAACACAGAGTCTGTGTGAGAGTATGGTGAGAGAGACGGCTAGAGAGTCAGGCTGCAGCAGATGGTGGGAAGCCTCAAATGCTAGCCAAAACGATGGATTTTATCTGCTAGGCAATGCAGGAGTTACTAAAGGTTTCTACCTAAAGGAGTTAGAGAACTGGAGTGGTACTTCATGAGGTGTACAGAATGGTTGCAAAGTAAAGAAGGAGCTCAATTAGGAGGATGGTACAATATCCTAGGTATGATATGAAAGAGATGTGAACTGGGCTTATGGCAATGCGAATGGAAAAAAAGGATCTGACACAAGTGATGAAGTAAAAGGAAAAACAGACAAGAACTTGGCAGCTGAAGGTGTTATATAGTTTGTTAAGGAAAATGAGGAGTCAACAATCACTGACAGTTTGAATCTGAATGCAGGAACACATGGTGGTATAAAGAGCAGAAAAAGATAAATAAAAACAAGGAACTGATTGAGAACAAGAGAAAAAGAGACCATAAAGGGTCACTATTTTGATTTTAGACTTCATATGTTTGAGATGCTTGTCTAACAAACTAGGGGAGACGTTAAACAAGCAGATGGAAATGCAGCTCAGGAGAGAGATCAGGGAAGGGCTAGGTGCTTTAGAAACCATCGCTCATTTAGTCTTCACAGCAACCTGTGAGGTGGGCAATACGAAAAGAAACAAGCTCGGAGAAGTTATGCAATTCACACCGAGGTTACTCTGGTAAGAAGTGGCATTGGGATTCAAATTCCAATCTTCTGATTAAATCCAGTGTTCTTTCTAACACACGATGCTGTCAGAAATAATGATTTTGGTACATATCTCTCCTTCTAGTAGACAGTAAGTTTTTTCCAAGATTGGCCTATGTCTTGATCATCTTTGAATGTCTAGTACTTAGCATAGTGCCTTTTGCTCAATAATTGTTTGCCAATTTAGCTGGGAGTCATTTAAATAGCTGGTATCCATGCTACAGGACTGGCTGAAATCTCCAAGGTACAAGCTGCATACAGCAAAGAGAAGACTGTCATGAACAGAACCATGGAGCATCTTAGTCTCGAGGGGACAGGGAAAAAGGATGACAAGTAGTCACAGAGATGAAGCAGAACCAGGATGGGTAGTGCCAACCAAAGCAAGGCCATGAGTGTCAAATGCTTTACAGACATCAGGGGAGAGGGAGACTGATCAAAAATGCTTTAAAATTTAGAAATTAAGAAGTCAATTCAGGGGCTGGCCTGCTGCGCTGGTGGCGCAGTGGTTAAGTTCACGCATTCCACTTTGTTGGCCCAGGGTTCAACGGTTCAGATCCTGGGCGCGGACCTACTCACCACTCATCAAGCCATGCTGAGGTGGCGTCCCACACAGAAGAGCTACAACTCTACAACTATGATACACAACTGTGTACTGGGGCTTTGGGGAGAAAAAATAAAAAAAAAAGAGGAAGATTGGCAACAGATGTTAGTGCAGAGCTAATCTTCCCGCCCCCCCGCCCCCAACGAAGTCAAGTCAACCTTCAAAAGCTGAAGGATCAGCAGGTTAAATTGTAAGGGGTTAAAGTGCGGGCAGTAAGAAAGTGCAAGACAATCAACGTTGACCACTCTGAAGGAGTTTGATACAGATACCGCTGATTTACTTTTCTTTTACCAGGAGCATCTATTAACTATCTTTGAAAAAGCTTGAAGATAAAAAGAAAAACATGGTGGTTCAAAGAAGTGCTAAGATTCAAGGGAAAAAATTAGGGTATCTGAGCATGTTTATTAGCAGAGGGAAAGAAGCTGGAAAAGAGAAACTAAAGATGGTGGACTAATGGAGGAAAGTGACAAAGTGAAATCCCAGAGGAAACTGAGGAAATAGGTCCAGGAAAAGAGGAGGGCACCCCTTGAGAGAGAGGGACGGCCTTCTAAGAACAGGGAAGAAGACAAAGGTTGAGAAGCGTTAGAGGGCAAATCTGAGATGCAAGGTGGTCTGGTGACAGCTGGAAAGGGGGCAAGCTCACACCAGGAGGTCTCAATTCTTGCAGTCAAGTTAAGGCAAGGTTAATCCATTAGGAGTGATAGAGGCAGGGTAGGATTGAAGGCATCTAAAATGTAGAGACAGTTTAGAACAGCTGCTGTGAGGAATGGGGTAAGAATTAACAAGATGTAAGTAAAATAACTGCCAAACAGTAATGGCCTCCTTGAGATGACAGAATGAATCTGTAATGACAGGTAAACGATCAAATATTCCCAAACTACTCTAAACCATATTTTTAAAAGATGCAACATAAACACAAAAAATAAATCAGATTACTGCTGGCTGGACTTGATATGTTGATGTAATCTTTTTAAAAAGCAATTTGGGGGCCGGCCTGGTGGTACAGTGGTCAAGTTTGCACGCTCTGCTTCGGTGGCCCGGGGTTCGCAGGGTCGAATCCCTGGCTCGACCTCTGCACCGCTCATCAAGCCATGCTGTGGCAGGCATCCCACATATAAAGTAGATGAAGACGGACAAGGATGTTAGCCCAGGGCCAATCTTCCTCAGCAAAAAGAGGGGGGTTGGCAACAGATGTTAGCTCAGGGCTAATCTTCCTCACACACACACACACACACACACACACACACGCAATTTGGCAATACATATCAAGAGCTTTAAAAATCTCATACCCTTTGACCTAATTCCCTTTCTAGGAATCTATCTTAAGGTAATAGGAACTCAGATAAAGATGGGCATTGTCAAAATGGGAAACAGTGCAGAGCAGTGGAAAGAGCACAGGCCTTAGTCAGTCAGATTTGCATTTGAATCCTGACTCTGCCACCTGATAGCTGTGTAACTTGGCTTAATCTCTCTGAGCCTTGGTTTCCTCATCTGTAAAATGCAGATGACCATAACTAGGTTTACAAGGTTGTTGTGAGAATCAGAGATAATGCATGTAAAGCAAAGTAGAAAATGGCAGTTGTTGTAATTTGTAATAGTATAACAGATTCAAATATCCCATAACTCAATGGTTAAATTATAGTATAATCTGATAATGAAACATTGTGTAGCCACTAAAAATGGGACTTTGAAAGAACTTTAAAAATATTTCAGTCTACAGAATTACTTACTCATCATCTGGAGTGAGCTGGACAGGTTCATTAGTAAACTGAGAATCAAAGTTGTCCAAACCAAATTCCCCAGAAATATTTGGTTTAAAGGGAGGTACCACCTGCTTTTGCTCCATCTAGAAAGACATATTGGATGACAGCTCAAACCTGCATTCTTAGAAAAATTCCACCTCTTCATTTCTCCTCTGCCCTCAGATGTTTCCCAGTCTTATTAAAGTGAATCCCTAGGCATGGTTCTACAATATGCACAATGATGGAAATAAGTTACAAATCTGAACATTGATGCAGGCCACAATAATATTACAACCTGGTCCATCAAATTAATATTCTAAGCCTTTATTATTTTAAAAGCTTTTTAAAAAGCACTTTAGAGAGTGGTTTTAAGTTATTTAAGTGATATACTAGTTTTTCAACATTCTTTTAAGATAATAAAATTTGGCCCAACATAATAATGAAACGTAATATAGAAAACAATCAAAATTTACATACCATATCCCAATCAACATTTCGGAAGAATGGGTGTCCCTGAATATCAGCAAATCCTGTTTGAGGATGACAACCCAATCGCTCCTTTGGGTCCTATGGTGGAAAGAAATGTTTCAAGAACTGGGTGAATATCATGCTTTAGAGTAAATAATCTTTGTGATCTGTGTTTCGTGTCTATTTTACGATACCTTTATGTCTGAAATCAGAATGGTCTACCTTTCATTCTAGAAAGTACAACACTAGACTGAAATGAGTATCTGAAGCTTGTGACAAGTAAGATTTCCTCATGGCTCCCTCTCTCATAGCGTGTAATTAAAGTGGAGATATGTCACCACTCCTTGTTAAAGAAAAATGCCAGGAAAAAGAGCAGCAGCATCATTTGAGCAGCATCCAGCTATTTCTGTCCTAGGTTAGAGTGATAGTCAAAATATGCAAAGCCCCAAACTTCACAAGTTTGGTCTTAGCTCAGTTTAAAAAGCCCTATGCCCAATTACAGCAACAAACCATAATCTGTGTACAACGACACAACCATGATCTGAATCATCGGACTGAGAAGGAGCCTGCAACTTACAGAAAAGTCTTGGCTTATTCATTACTGTGAAGGAGAACATGTTCCCATTTTTCTTTCTAATAAAAGGCATTTTATTTTGCTTATTAACACCTCTCAGCTTCATTTTTCACTGGAAACTTAGGTTTCCAGTTTAAATCTTTCCTTATAAAAAGTACTCATTTAAAACAAATTTCTTATTTTATTAAAATTCATTATTATCTTATCTATTTACCTTAGAAGGTAAATGCACATCGACCTATTTTCTAACCTACCATTTATTTAAAATAAGATTGGGGCCGGCTCCATGGCTTAGCGGTTAAGTGCGCGCACTCAGCTACTGGCGGCCCGGGTTCGGATCCCGGGTGCACACCGACGCACCGCTTCTCCGGCCATGCTGAGGCCGCATCCCACGTACAGCAACTAGAAGGCTGTGCAGCTATGACATACAACTATCTACTGGGGCTTTGGGGGAAAAAAAGGAGGAGGATTGGCAATAGATGTTAGCTCAGAGCCGGTCTTCCTCAGCAAAAAGAGGAGGATTCAGCAGGATGTTAGCTCAGGGCTGATCTCCCTCACAAAAAAAAAAAAAAAAAAAATTTAAAATAAGATTTATGATCGCCAAGATCTTTGTGATACAAGAAGAAGTATATATTCAGTCTTTCTCCCAGGTTCCTGACATAGAGCTTCTAAAACCTTTGTAATTTCCTGATAGGAATGTCTTTTGTTATTCATAACAAGTCCCTTTTGATCATACCTGAGTTTATGCTAATAAAGTGACTCTTGGTAGGTCTTTAGATAGCTTCAGGATGGGGTATGGTTGCCAGAGGAACCAACCATGTGATTAGGGGGTTGGAAGTTTCAGCCTCATTTCCAGAGGGGCTGGAAATTGAGTTCAACTACCAATGGCTGATTTAATCAATTGTGCTATGTAATGAATCCTCCATAAAAAGCTCTAAAGCGTGACGTTTGGAGAGCTTCTGGGTTGACGAACTCATCCACGTGCTGGAAGGGTGGCGTGCCCCAACTCCACAGGGACAGAAGCTGCTGTGCTCAGGACCCTTCTGGACCTCAACCTACGTACCTCTTCATTTGGTTGTTCATTTGTACCCTTTATAATAAACTGGTGATAGTAAGAAAAGTGTTTTCCTGAGTTCTATGAGCCATTCTAGCAAATTACTGAACCTGAAGTGAAGGGGTTGTGGGAACCCCCAACTTTGTAGCCAAGTCAGACAGAAGTGTGGGTACCCAATACTTGCGACCGGCATCTGAAGTAAGGACCGTCTTGTGGGACTGAGCCTTTAAACCTACGGAGTCTGATGTTAACTCTGGGGAGTTAGTGTCAGAAATGAATTGAATTGTAACATACCCACTTGGTGTCAGGAGAGTTGAAGAATTTGTTGTTGGTGTGGAAAAAAACCTACACATTTGGTGTTAGAAGTGTTATGAGTAAAAGCAGTTCAGAATCATAGTGATAGATAGATCCCCAAACTCTCCTAGCCTACCAACTGCAACAAACGAATGGTGTTCAGATTTTTTAAGAGCCAATGATAGCATTTCATTTCTTCTGATTTGATCTAATTATAGGGTTTTTGACATGAGAATTTGTAGGGAAGACCACTGCCCCAAGCCCTCAATGACTAAAGAGATTCTATAAATAATAATCCAAAGAAAATTGAAAAACAGAACTGAAAGTACCATTGAGCATATCCCCAAAGATGCAATTTTCCCCTAAATTGAGTACATGGTATATGTCATTTACGTTAAAAATACCGTAAGTAATATATAGCTGGAGGTAAATTATATTGGCAACATGGAAAGAACAACTTATCTCAGGATCTAATGCTGTCCAATTACTCTGGTGAAGAGACAAATTCCAGATCTAACTGAAAAAATTACAGTCTGATGTTTTGGAATTTTATGTTGCCTGAACCTCTACTTACCAGTTTCATTTACAGAGAGATAAACCACTAAAGACTTTTATACATGATTTATACCTTGTTGAGAAAACTCTTCAGGACACTTGCAGCTTTTACAGACAGAGAACGTGGTATGCGAATTTGTTTTTCCAAAATAACTAGAAAGATAAAATTTATGGCATTATATTTAACTATAACATGGCTGTAATCTTTAAATTTTTATTATGAGATATTTAAGGCATTCTAGCAGGAAAAAATAAGACATTACATACACTACTTAAGCGTCTCGTGTACTTTCCCAGGCCCAGTCCTCTCCTCCTTTCTCAGAGACAGCCTCTAATCTGAACACTGATTTGATCATTTACATGCATACGTTTTATTCTTTGACTACCTTATTGCGACTTGGTTTTCTCATCTGTAAAATTGGAATAAAAATAGAACTTGCTTCATAGGGTTGTTATGAAGTTTACATGAGTTAATATCTGTAAATGCTGGCACATATTCCCATATGTGATTTTATTGGACACTGCCAAATTATTCCCCAAAGTTCTTGTGTCAATTTTCACTGCCGCCAGCAGTCTATGAGAATTCCAGCTGCTCCATATCCTCATCAGCACTGGTATTATCAGACTTTAAAATTTCTGCCAACGTAGGGGTACAAAATAGTAGCTCATTAGTGCTTTAATGTGCATACCCTTAATTACCAGTGAGGATGAACATCTTTCCATATATTCCACGGCCATTTAGATTTCCTATTACATGAAATATCAATAACTACGAAGTGTAGAATTTTATGGCAGTCTTCACACTTCTTTGGACTGTGTGTTGGGGAGTCCCTGTGCTTGTCTGCTTGTTTCTGTTCTGTTTCATTCTTTGTATTTCTAATCTTGGGGTTTTCTTTTCATTTTCTGATCTCTCTTATCTTGTTGGTACTCTATCTTTTCCCCATATTGTTCACGGACTTTGGCACTCAGCCTCGGGGTCCATGTGAAAAGACTGTCCTCTCTAGCCACAAGATTCCTTCCTCCAATCTCTGTTTGTGATACACAGTCTGAAGGCACCTCTTTGTTATGTTTTTGAGTATGAGAAGGTAACTAGTAAATGGGACTGAAGACTACAGAGATTGGAAGGATGTATCCAAAAAAAAAAAAAAATCAAAGCCTCACATATTAAGGAGTATATTGTCTAGATCATTCTCCTCTTTCTTACTCAAAGTAGTAACTTGAGCCATCTTCTTTCATGCTCTACAATAGGTTATTCACAGAGAATCTCTGTAAAACACTGCAAATTACCTTGGAAGAGATAATCCTCTGTGTTTTGATCAGGGTTATCAGAGCTCCCAACAATATCAAATGGAGACCTTCCTGCCATCATCTCAAACATTAGTACCCCAAGAGCCCACCAGTCGACACTGAAACCTTCAAAAAAGAAATTTTAAAGCAACAAATTATCCATTCTGCATTCTTGAACGTCAGTAATTTGAGATTCATTTTATTTCATAAGGAAAAAGTAAACTCTAAATGCATTATAACTACCACGGTAGGCATTGAAGATTACAGGAATATTTCACTTATCAACAAGGGGAGGTACTAAAAGATAACTTTAAAAATAAAATATGTTTCTTTTCCCAAATATGTCTGTAATTTCAGATTCATGGCCTGTTTCTAATATTTTGTTTTAATGATATAATTAAACTGTAATTGAGAATAGCATTCATTGGTCTAAAACCTGATCTTCTGCTAGCTGATTCAAGATCCTTGAAGGACCCTGGAATCAGATTATGAGCAGCTGTCATAAGTACCCAGCCTCCTTTACATCTGCTGAAATCAGAGGGCCAGAACCTAAGGCGTCAAATGTTTTCTTAGGATAAACATCCTCTGGTTCCTGACAAGCAGTCAATCTTTCTCCCATCTTTCAGATTCCTCGGGGAAATATCCCAGGAAATCTGAAAAATCTTCCTGAGTCACTCTGCAGTCACATAGCTGAAGTTTAAATCCCTACTCTGCCACTTTTTAGCTGTACAACCTTGGGCAAGTTATTTAAACTTTCTGTACATTAGTTTCCTCATCTGTAAAATGAGAACTAACAGTGCTTACCTCATAGGATTACTGAAAGGATTAACTTAGTTAACATATGTAAATTGCCTAGAATAGTGCCTAGGAATTAGTGCTTGCCACTAATAAAACAGTATTCAAATTTCTACCCCCAAATACTGCCCAGGTCCCACCATCTCCAATTTCAGAGTTTGGGGTTTTCATGTAGGTTTTAAGGGGATCAAAAAAGTTTAAGTTAATAAGATCAGCACTGAAATACTGTAGAGTACTATAATGCATTTGGTACCACATTTAACCACCCTTCTAGTTCACAGCTAAAATATCATCTATTTATTTATTACCATAATCTTCTCCTCTTAAAATTTCAGGAGCAATGTAATTGGGAGTACCACAGAAAGTGCTGGTTGTATCTCCTGGCCGTAATCCTTCCTTTTATTAAAAAAAAAGAAAAAAGAAATAATAAGATCCAAAATTCTGTTTTAAATTCACCTCCCTTATTTCATCTATCATATGAGCTTAGCATCTGTAGGTAATATATTAAGCTTAAATAAAATATCACTAGCACAAGTGCCTTTAGTATTAAAATCATGAGTTGCCAATAAATAGCTTAAAGAAAACCTGTCCTCATTAGATGTTGGTAAAGAGTCAGTTCAATTAAGATAAAAATTGTATTTAAAATAATTTATATTTAAGTAAAATTTTAATACAAAAATTTAAATTATATAAGTGAAAGGAATCATATTTTATGAAGAAAAGAAGCACTTTAAATCCCCCCCCACCTCCTAACACAACGACTGCTGGCACTGTATTTCCCTTCTGGTTGTTCTTCCTATCAAGTTTTTTGGTTTTGTATTTTAACAGCTACAGGATGGAGAAAATTAAGGCAAAACACACTAATATGTATAAATAGAGAAACTACACAATAACAGATGGAACAACCACCAAGAAGTTATAAAAAACTTATGTACACCTGACCACACAGCCTCAAAATACAAAGAGTAAAAATGGACACAATTATTAGGAGAATTTCACAACCCCTGCTATGGACTGAATGTGTGTGTGCCCCCAAAACTCATCTAAGTCCTAAAGTGATAGCATTGGTAGGTGGGGGCTTTGGGAGGTAATTAGGTCATGAGGTTGGAGCCCCCATGATGAAATTAGTGTCCTTATAAGAAAAGGAAGAGAGCTAGCCTTCTCTCTCTCCCTGCCATGTGAGGATACAATGAGAAGAGAGCCATCTGCAAACCATGAAGAGTGCCTTCAACGTACACTGGATCTGCCAGCACCTTATCTTGGACTTCCCAGCCTCCAGAACCGTGAGAAATAAATGTTTATTGTTTAAGCCACCTAGTCTATAGTATCTTGTTACAGCAGCCCGAACTGATAATACAATCCCCAATCATGACCGGTGATTTTAATAGATCTATATCAGAAAACGACAGATCATACAGACCAAAAAATTAGTAAGCAGAGAAAGATCTGGACAAAAGCTAGCGCTAAAAATATATATAATATTACATACATACAGAATATGTATATCTATGTGAGTGTCTGGAGAAATGCAGGAGAAAGAGAGAGAGTGTGTGAAAGACAGAGAGAGACTCCTTGCATGCAAAATAGAGATTATCTATTCTTTTTTAAGTATACGTGGAATATTGACTGAAAACTAAGTCATAAAGGAAATCTCAATATATTTCAAAGAACCAACATCATGCAGACCATTCTCTAGCCACAGGGCAGTTAAATAAGAAATCAACAATAAAAAGATAGTCTAAAAACAAGCTGACTAATATTAAATATACAATTAAGCATCTGCTTTTTTAACTTTATAAGCATGTAATTTCCTATGTAATTAGACTTCTTGTTAGTAATGACTATAAAAATTCAACTGAACGTATGCATTTAGAATTTAATCATTTCCCTATTGTTAGATTATATGGTACAAAATTCCAAACAAAAAAGGAGGGAAGATATACGTTGAAAATCAAGCCTCCCTCCCATTCCTCTCCCTGACACATCCATTTCCAGCTCCCTAGAGGCAACCACTGTTAGGAGGTTCTTATGTGTCCCTCCCAAGATATTCTGAGCATGGTATATGTATTTTTCTTCAAACTTTACTCTATTATATTTAACACTGCTATAAACATCTAGAAGAAAGATTTAGTAACATGTTGTGAATCCAAGGACTTTCAATGATTCCTAATAGGGATATATACGTAATTTTGTATACAAAGAAATATAAATGTGACAAGTTGTTTTGTATTATTGGCAATGGCTTAAGGTACAGTCTCATGATAAACAACCTGCACTTTCAGGGCAAGAGTCAGAGGCAAGGGATGCAGTCTGTTAATATGTAACAGAGCTATGCTAAATCATTGACTTGTTGACTGAATATCTGGACATAGGCCCATCAGCTAAATTATCTACAGCATGACATAAATGTTATTATTAAAATTCCCCTGCTGATGAAAAAATAGAGTTAAAGGCACATCAATTCATAAAATGGCTCAAGTTTTTCAGTCAATAAAATCAATGTTCATGAAATATTTACACGTAAGTCTGAAGATACTAACTGAAGTTTTCATATGCCTCCAGTCATCACTAGTCTCTGCACTCTTTATATAAAAGCATCTAGGAGAAGCTGAGGAAATTAACTAAATTAATTTAACCTAAAGGAAGTACTTCTGGAGAAACTATGAAAAAAATTTAGTGTTTTAAATTTCCCAAGGAATTGTTACAAGGAAAAGAAATTCATCCAACATTTGCCTTGACTTTAGGTATATTTAAATACTGACTCTAAGTCATATAAGAACATTCAAATCTCCAAGGGATTCATTTCCCATAAGCTTTAACATCACAAGGGTATAAATGTGTCAGTGAGAGAAGAGACCAAGTATTGTCAGTAAAGTCTCTGAACAGAGTTCCAACCCTGGTGTCTTTTCCTACTAATAAAACTAAGTGGCTCCTAGAGGAGGAGGAAAGACAGAAAGGGAGGTAGGCAGGGCAACCAACTTAAAGAACTACTAAACAAGACCTCTAAGATTTATCGAAGATCCTGATTAACCTGATTGAGGATCTCTGGAAAGAATGAGAATGTATAACAAACCAATATTATTTTTCATTAAGAATAACAAAAGATTAAGTAATTTTTCTCTAATAATATCTTCCAGGCAAAACAGGATCCCTAAATTTCTTTGAATAAAAAGAGACAGAAAAGAATGAAGGGAGGAAGAAAGAGAGAGAGAGAGAGAGAAAGAGAAAAGAAAGCCTTAATTCATTTTTGTGAATTTCACTAAGTAATGCATACCCATTATAATAACTTTAAAAATACGTAAAAGTAAACAATAAATGTGTGATGCTACATAATAGGATAATACATAATACATAATAATACATATGAATTAGACAATTCTATACTTTAAAACTTTACTTAATGTTATAAGCATTTTACATTGTTATGAACTTTTTGAAAATATCTTCTTAAATGATTTCATAATGCCATGTTTTTTGGCCCTTCCATAATTTCCTTAATTATCCTCCTTACCAGTAGCCGTTTAGATTATGCATAATATTTATCATAAACTACAATAAAAAATTTTGGTCATAAACCTTTCCTCAAAGACCAAAATATTTACTCAGAATATCCCAGAGGCAGAATTACTGGATCAAAGAATATGGTCATCTTTAAGATTCCTGATACATTCCCACCAAATTCTCTACAGAAGGTTACAACAATATATACAGTCACCAATGACATATGAGAATGCCCATTTCACTAAACTCTTATAAATAGACTACTATAATTTTAAAACCAGTATCTGGCATGCAACAAAAAGTCTCGTCATTGTTTTAATGTGTATATTTGTAACAGGGTTAACATTCTTCATATTTTTTGTTCTGCTTTATTTTCCCTTGACAAATTATAGGACTCCTTTATTATTGTCATTTTTCTTTTGAAATGAGAAGAAAATCCACTGGGAAAAAAATGACACAGACCAAAAAGGTATCACAAATCTGAGTGATGGGTACACAGAGGTTCGCCTACCAAATCTCTACTTGTTTATGATCGAAAATTTAAGGAAATAGAAATTTAATATAAGAAAAGATAAATATCTGAGTTTTGTACATAAAAGCAAAAATACTTTACATGAAGATCTTCTTTTCTAATGCTGCTGGACAGATACTAAGGTTAAACCTTCAGTACTATTAGACTGTCCTATTTCATGCCAGCATTTAAATAATCTCCAGGCTCTGGAGGCGCTCCCCTCAGATGAACAGGGGAATGCAATTCAGACACTGACATGCTTGTTGCCACATTACTGTGTGAGTATAATGCTGTCTGAGCTACTTTAACAAGGAGAGTAGCTCCCTACACATTTGGTGGAAAGAGATTAGACCCTTAAATGAAACACTGCTACAAAAAGAATAAAACACCAAGTAATAAAGGAGATGTCCTGAGAATAACTAAAATTCTTTCTTTTTTTATTAATTTTTTTCTCTCCAGTGAATTTTTGGAAGAAAGTCAACTGGTTCCATGCTTCATGATGTGGGGCAATTTTTTTTTTTTTTTGAGGAAGATTAGCCCTGAGCTAACATTTGTTGCCAGTCCTCCTCTTTTTCTTCTTTCTCCCCAAAGCCCCAGTACATAGTTGTGTATCTTAGTTGTAGGTCCTTCTGGTTCTTCTATTTGGGACACCGCCTCAGCATGGCTTGATGAGCAGCAAGTAGGTCTGCACCCAGGATCCGAACTGGCAAACCCTGGTCTGCCAAAGCAGAATGCACGAGCTTAACTGCTACGCCACCAAGCCAGCCCCTAAAATTCTTATTTTGTTCTATTGTACATTATATCAGGTATTTAAATTTTAAATAGATTTCTTAGGAAAATCTTGAATTCATTATTTAAAAGTTACAATTAAATGGCAAAAACTGGAAGGTGATATGCAAGTAGTAGTGCTCAAGTCGTGGGATTGTAGACAATATTTATGTCCAAATTTTCTTCAATAGTGTCACAACTTTCAAGATAAAAAGTTACAGACATTAAAAAGAAATTAACTCTTGTAGCACATATAACACTCATAGAAAATACAGAATTTCGTAAATAGTTAGGAAATAAGTACATTTGTCTTTGTGTTAGATTTCCAAAAAGTATCCTAAACAAAGTAGCAATCATTTCCCCCTCTTCGAAGATGAAGTTATTTTACCAAAACAATTTTATGAGCTGCAGAGACCTTTTGAATAACTAGAATTTCCCTCACCTTACACATGCCATAGTCAGTGAGCTTAATGTGGCCCTCAGAGTCCAGCAGTACATTGTCCAATTTCAAATCTCGATAAATTATCCCTCGTTCATGAAGATAATTTAATGCTAGACTGATTTCTGCAGAGTAAAATCTAAAATAAAATGAAGAATAACTCATTTGATTCAAATTTTTACATTGTGGTAAGTTTCTAGAGGGAGGTATTTAAGTCATACTTCCAACTGCAAACGGAAACATCAAAATCATGTCAAAAGACTTTTTTCTCCCCATGTTTTTAGGAACAATACCAAAACACAAATTGAATACCACTATAAAATGTGTGAGCCTAAAGCACAATTATAAAAGTTCCAGTCTAAATTAAACTCACACTTTTCATAAAGTTATTAATTTGGAAGTCTCAAATGGGTTCTTTTTTTTGGTAATATTGGTTTATAACATTACATAAATTTCAGGTGTACATCATTATAGTTTGATTTCTGTATAGATGACATGGTGTTCAATCTGGGTCCTTGGATGGACTTCAGGCAGTCCACACTCCTATAACTGAAGGCAAAGTTGTATGTACATGTGTACATGAGCATCTTCTATAGAATTTCCATAACTTTCATGACTTCTCTAAGGGACCAATGACCTCCCAAAATGCTAAGAACCACTGATAAAAAGAATACTAAAAGTTAACAACTCATTCAAAACTATAAAATCTATACCAAAATTCTAGAAAAGTAATTACAAGTAATCATTCTACAACTATAACATCTAATATTAAAGAAAGAACTTTTTAAAACTGCCACCAACTCACTGGCGATAACCAGAACTTCCAATAAAGAAAATGAAACACCCAAGCTGGTTTATAGCTGCTCTGGTGAATGTTATCACCATCACATTTGGAGGTACATAATACACACCTTCTAGCTACTTAATTCTTTGAACAGGGAACTTGAGCCCTTATTCTGTACTTGGGTTCCTAGAAAAGCAAAGATGGTAAAAAACCAGAACTGGGACTTTAATACAGTAAAAACTAGACTACTTTCCCCAAGTCCAACTGAACAAATAAGGAACAAATACTGGCTATGTTCACAATTCAAAATATCATCTATGGCTTTGCTATGAAGGTGACCATTTGATAAAGCTTAAATAAACAACGGACACACAGTAAATTAAAAAAAAAAGACAACAGTTTGGCCCCAAGATTAGATTAGTCCAATTTATACCTTCTTATGAAACAGAAGGATATTATCTCTTTTTGACAAGAAATAATCAATAAACTACCAAGATTTCCACTAAAAAAGTTATTTTTCAAAACGAAATCTCTAACCTTTGTTACATACATATATGAATTCACATGTTTCATTTTGGCATCACTGTTGTGAAGCACAAAAGATGAAAATTCCTGCTAATTATGAGTAACTAAACAAAACAAGACATGGCACTGATGGATTAAATTTCTTATCCAAGGCCATGATCCTTCCTCACTTAACTCCTCCAAACATACAAACAATTTACAATCTTGCATAACAACATCAAATTAAGGGCACAAAATAAATAAATAGATAAATAAATAAATTGATATATAAGTAAATAAATAATATCTAACACTCGTTCCTCTTATTCATCAACATGTATGGGATCAGAGGGAAAAAAGCCAAAGGCAGAATAATTCAGAAATTATAATTACAGGAAAAACAGTCAGAAAAACATAATAGCTTAAGAGGAATTGTTTTATTACTCTCAAAAATATATATGAAAAATAATCTTCCAAAGAAAAACTGTCAGAGATGACTGCAAACCTGATAAGATTAATACGTGTTTGTAAATTCATTAATTATTTCCGTAGCTGATGCTGAATAGACAAAATATTTGAAAATAGACTAAAAGTTTCCCTTTAATATCGTTTACACTTTCCAATTGCTTATAATTATATTATATATGTAATATACAATGTTATGTATGTTATATATTATAATGTAAACTAACTTTTAGCTTAGCTTCCACATGACTTACAAAGAATTAACTAGCATCAAAATAAATGATTTATCTAGTGTTTTCAACCACTGGCACAAAATCCAACAGAAACAAACAATAATAAAAACCTTACCTGGCGTGTTCTTCAGGAAGTTTTCTTTGTCGCTGCATATGAAACATTAGATCTCCTCCATTTACATACTCTATGACAAAGAACAATCTAAAAGACAGAGAGAACACATGAAACCAAGATCCAAAATATGGCAGCGTAACTTTGCATTCTAAACACTAGAGACCTGTTACAACATGAAGAGCATTCTATATGATGTACCCTTAACAAAGGTTCCAGGATCTTGGTGGAAACCAAGGACAGTTGGAGTAGAAAGCTGTTTAATCACAGAAGATACAACGTAAAGCAGCATGATAATAATTCTGTAACCTGCTACTTCTGTTCTAAGGCAGTACCACTTTCAATCCAGAGCCTCTCACTCCCACCCCATATGCAAGATAAGTCATCTTCAACTGTCACTTAAGGTAAAGAAGTTAGGAATTCTCCCCCCAGTTAAACTCTAGGAAACTTTAAATCTAAAACTAGAATCTTGGGGATATTTAAAAGGTTGGATTTCTACTGCTATAGTTATGACCTGGCTTTTTTTTTTTTTTTTTTTTTGGGGAGGAAAATACCCCCTGCCTTAAATCCATGCCAATCCTTTTTTTTTTTTTTTTTTTTGCTGAGGAAGACTGGCCCTGAGCTAACATCCATGCCCATCTCCCTCCACTTTATATGGGATGCTGCCACAGCATGGCCTGACAAGCGGTAGCATCGGTGCTCGCCAGAGGTTCCAAACCCGGCCCACCAGCAGCAGAGCATGCACACTTAACCACTACGCCACAGGGCCGGCTCCACAACCTGGCTTTTTTTGTTTGTTTGTTTTCCCTAAAGCGGGTAATTTCCTAATGCTGATCTGATGTCAAATTGATATCACTGACTGGAGTATGAGTAGCAGGAAATTATAAGCATAGTACTGTTGTGCCCATCTCCATGACTTCCACTGCAGGAATTATAGTAGAAAGGGTTCTTATTAAGTAATATACCAAAATGTGTAAAGCCCAGTAATTATTCCATTATCTTTCAATCTTACCTGCTTTCTGTCTGAAAGCAAGAATGCAGCCCAACAAGAAAAGGATGATTGGATGCTTGCTCAAAAACATGCTTCTCTGTCTGTACCCAATCAATATCCTATTTTAAAATATGAAAGAAATCTATGTCAAACTGAAATGATATCATCAAAACTACGATAAACGTGTTCTTAGCAATTCAATTATCACCAATGCAATTATTAACTAACTAGGCTAAATATCAAAAGCACTGGTGATCAGAAACAACAATTTACATACAAAGAGGAAAACACCCCCAGTAAATCTTTCAATATTATGCAACAGTCTAGAAAACTTTTATGAAGCCCAAGTACTTTCCCTTGATAATAATATGGTTTAATTTTTACTTTTAAAAAAATCAAATAATCATCAGACTACTTTAAATAGATCTTATATAATCTGTTTGAAGCATATACTTAGAAAAGTAGACTGAAATAATAATCAGAAACATTAAGGTTTTCTCTGAAATAGTACACTTAAGCCAGTTTCACAGTTTAGAAGAAATAAAACATCACTGTGCTCACCTCATCGTCATTGACAAGCTCTTTTTTCACAACTTTCATTGCATAAATGCGATCTGTTTTTTTCAGTCGTACCAACAGTACTTTGGCATAACTCCCTCTTCCTATTACCCGGAGCAAATCAAAGTCCTGAAGACCTAAACTGGATGAAGCTTTGCCACTTTCCCTTGTGTTCATTGCCTGTTGAGAATGTTTATATCAGAGTTATACCTGGAAGCATTTTGCATAATACTGTATATTTCTAACAACTAGTTATACCTATAACGATTTTTCAATGTTTTCCGATTTAAGTTCTTAATGATTCTTTTCTTACATCATTCCAAATGATATAACTCTCAAGATGTTGGATGAATTCATGAGTTGAGGTCAGAGGGGTGGTGAGAGCAAGGGAGAAGGAGTTGAAACCTGAGAAATGTTAAACAATGTTTTAAAAAGGATCTGATAACTTCTGGGTATGGAGGCAATGGAGATGCATGAATAAAACAACACTAACTTTGGTGACTGGAAGACTGGAGATACCACTGATAGAAAAATAAAGTGTAAGCATAGGATAAGATTGACAGAGTTGCTGAGATAATAAGCTTGGTTTTTCATACGGAAGTTAGAAGTTACAATGTGACATCAAGATGGAACAGTCTGCTGGAAGCTTGATATATGAAATCTGAGCTAAAAGCGGAGAAATTCAGAGATGTTTTTGGAAGCTATAGGCAGAAAACAAGCATGAGGCAGTTTAGCTAAGGGAAAACATTCTGTTCTACACAATACTAAGGCTCCTTTGGAATGACAAAGTCAGCCTTATAATTCATTCACAACTAGAAACTTAGGCTTCTGGTAATTTATAGAGAAGCGTGAAGATAATCCTTTATTAGATACCTGCAAAATCTCAGCATTCGATCAACAGATGTACCCCAGAGAATTAAGCAAGAATTTTCTAAAGCAAAGAGTATCAAGAAATACAAGGAGTAAATTTTGAGAAAAATAAACTAGTAAGCACAAAACAGAAAAAAAGGTATTATGAAAACTGAACGAGACTGATGATTCAAAAGAAGGGTCATTTAAAATGCATAAAATGTGGATAAACCTAAATAAAGACTGTTTAAAAACACTAATATGCACAAGGACTGACTGTTTAAAAACACTAATATGCATACATACACATACGGAATTTTAAAATATGACAACAATAGCACCAAAGGCAGGAAAGGAAAGTGAGTGAATTTAAAGTGTGCTAAGGTCCTTGCATATTCTGGTAAATGGTAAAAGTATTATTAATAATTTAAATTGAATTGAAGTTAAGTTAAGGATGTAAGATGCAATCTCTAGAACAACCAGGAATAGAAGAGCAAAAGAATGTCAGACAAGCTAAAAGAAGTGAAAAGAGAATAATAAATAACCCAAAAGAAGGCAAGAAAAGTAACATAAAAAGGTAGGATACAGAAAACATGGTTTTAAAATGGTTGATTTAAACACAAATCAGTAATTAGTTTAAACATCATTACATTAAATGTGAAAATACGTAAATTAGAACATACTAAATACTAGAGCCAAGGACTGTCAGACTAGAGGGGAAGAAAAGCCCAACCATACGATGCTAACAAGACACACCTTAAATATATGGGTACACAAAGGTTGAAAGTAAAAGGATAAAAAAACCATATACCACGTAATCACTAACCAAAAGAGAGTTGTTGTAGCTAAACTAATATGAGACAAAGCAGTTGCAGCCTACTGTGGTAGGCTGACTTCTAAGATGGCCTCCAGTGATCCCCACCTCTTAGTATTCATGCCCTTCTGTAATCCCCTCCCCTTGAGTATGGGCTAAACCTAGTGACTTGCTTCTAATGAAAAAAATATGGCAAAGTGATGGGATGTCACTTCTGAGATTAGGTTACAAAAGACTGTGAGTTCTGTTTTACTAGCATTCACTCTCTCTGACTCTTACTGTTTGCTTGCTCTGATGAAGCAAGCTACCTTGTTGTAAGCTGCCCTACAGAGAGGTCTATTTGGCAAGGAAATGAATCCTGCCAACAACGAGGTAAGTTTGGAAGTGGCTCCGTCCCCAGTCGAGCCTTGAGATGGCAGCAGTCCTTGCCAGTACTTGACTGCAGCCTGTAAGGGACACTGAGGTAGAGGAACTAGATAAGCCACACTTAGATTCCTGACCCATGGAAACTGACATAATAATTTTGTTGTTTTAAGCCACTGAATTTTGAAGTAATTTGTTACATAGCAATTACCTAATAGAAGGACTTTAAGAAGCATTACTACAAACAAAGAGGGATATTTCATTATGAAAAAGGGTTAATCCAGGGCCAGCCCGTGGCTTAGTGGTTAAGCGCGCACGCTCCGCTGCTGGTGGCCCGGGTTCGGATCCCGGGCGTGCACCGACGCACTGCTTCTCTGGCCATGCTGAGGCCACGTCCCACATACAGCAACTAGAAGGATGTGCAGCTATGACATACAACTATCTAGTGGGGCTTTGGGGGGAAAATAAAATTAGAAAAAAAAAAGGGGGTTAATCCAATAGGAGATATTATGATTGTAAATTTGTACGTATCTAATAACACAGCCTCCAAATATATAAAGCAAAAACTAACAAAACTAAAAGGAACAAGGGAATCCACAATGAACCCTCTCAGTAGGGAAAGAACAAGCAGTCAGCGGCAACAGAAGACTGAATAACACTGTTCATAATTTTGACCTAACTGACCTATACAGAACACTGTACCCAAAAACTACAGAATATAGGTATTTGAAAATACATATGGAACATTTACCAACGCCTATGTGCTTGGTCTTCAGGCAAGTTTCAACAAAGTTCAAAGGACTGAAATCACACAGAATGTACTCTCTGACTGGCAACGGAATGAAGCTAGAAGTTAATAACAAAAAAAATTTCCCAAATATTCAAATTAATTGGTACAGTTTTATTTTTATTTTACTTATTTATTTGTTTATTTTGTGAGGAAGATCAGCCCTGAGCTAACATCCATGCCAATCCTCCTCTTTTTGCTGAGGAAGAGCGGCTCTGAGCTAACATCTATTGCCAATCCTCCTCCTTTTTTCCCCCAAAGCCCCAGTAGATAGTTGTATGTCACAGTTGCACATCCTTCTAGTTGCTGTATGTGGGACGCGGCCCCAGCATGGCCGGAGAAGCGGTGCGTCGGTGCGCACCCGGGATCCAAACCCGGGCCGCCAGTAGCGGAGCGCGAGCACTTAACCGCTAAGCCACGGGGCCGGCCTGGTACAGTTTTAAATAATACATGGATCAAAGAAGAAATCATAATAGAGATTGAAATATATTTTAAACTGAATGACAGAAAAGCATAAGAAAATAAGAGGAGAAATCAATGCACTAGAATAGAAAATAAGCATTCAACAGAAAAGAGCCAAAAGTCAGTTCTTTGAAAAGACTAACAAATTTATATCCCGCTGGCAAGACTGATGAAGAAAAACAGAATGCACAATAACTTTTATCAGCAATGACAAAGGATATCACTTCATATTCTCAGAAATTAACAACTCTATGTCAATAAATTTGAAATTTTAGGTTAGACAAATTTCAAGGAATAACACAGACAAAGGAAGAAATAGAGAATCTAAATTGTTCTGGATCTATTCAGACATAGAATCCAGAATTAAAATCCTTCCTACAAGGAAAACTCCAGGCCCAGAGTGCTTTTCTGGTGAATTCTTTTAAAAATGTAAGAAAGAAATAACGTCAATCATATAAAAGAATCCTTTTTGGGAATAGGTAAATTTCAAAATCATTTTATGAGCCCAGTATTACCTTGATACCAAAACTTGACAATGCAATACAAAAAGGGAAAATTACAGGTCACTGACTCTCATTAATATTTAAAACAACAACAAAGAAAACCCTAAACTAAATATTGGCAAATCAAATCCATCAAAATATAAAGAGAATAATACAATCACAACACAGAGTTTATTCCATAAATGAAAAATAGGCTTCACACCTGAAAATTAATGAAACTTACATATGGTCAACTCCACAAATGCCAGTGATAAGCATACCCTGATATGCATATCAAATGAAAAGGGATATCTACAAAATAAAAGCCTATAGCAAACATCAAACTTTATGAAATATTAGAACATTTCCCTCTGAGATGTGAACAAGACAATAATATCTGATCACCACTTCTTTTCAACATCATTTTGGCCATCCATAGAGGTCCTTGCTAATTCAATAAGGTAAGAAAACTAAATAAAATCTATGAGATTTGAAAAGGAAGAAATGAAGCTGTTATTCATAGATAAGATTATCATATATGTAGAAAATCTAAAAGTATCTGTAGATAAGCTATTATTATTATTATTTTTTTTAAAGATTTTATTTATTTATTTTTTCCCCCAAAGCCCCAGTAGGTAGTTGTATGTCATAGCTGCACATCCTTCTAGTTGCTGTATGTGGGACGCGGCCTCAGCATGGCCGGAGAAGCGGTGCGTCGGTGCACGCCCGGGATCCGAACCCGGGCCGCCAGCAGCGGAGCGCGTCCACTTAACCGCTAAGCCACCTGGCCAGCCAATGTAGATAAGCTATTAGAATTAACAAGGCAGGGCCGGCCCCGTGGCTTAGCGGTTAAGTGCGCGTGCTCCGCTGCTGGCAGCCCAGGTTTGGATCCCGGGCGCGCACCGACGCACCGCTTCTCCGGCCATGCTGAGGCCGCGTCCCACATACAGCAACTAGAAGGATGTGCAGCTATGACATACAACTACCTACCGGGGCTTTGGGGGGAAAATAAATAAATAAATAAAATTATAAAAAAAAAAAAAGAATAAGGCAATTTAGCAAGGTCTCAGGACACAAGGCGATTTAGAAAAAAACATTATATCACAATATTAAATTAAATTTATTTTAAATTTAAAAATTTACATCAAATACCGATAGTGCAAGAACTCTGAAAACTACAAAACGTTGACAGAAATTTAAAAAGACCTAAGTAAATGGAAGAATATACCACGTTCATGGACTGAAGACTTAATATTGTAAAGATGTCACTTTTCCTGAAACTGATGGACAGGTTTGGTTTATTTGCTTGATTTTGTGGAAACTGGCAAGCTAATTCTAAAATTTACATGGAATTCAAAAGGCTAGTAAGAGTAGCCAAGATAATTCCCAGAACAACAAAGTAGAAGAATTTTACTAGATATAAAGACTTATTATAAAGCTATAGTAATCATAACAGCATGGTATCAGCACAAGATAAATAAAATGATGGAACATAAAAGAGAATCCAGAAATACTTTATGTAATTGATGAAAAGATAGCTTTGCAGAGTAATGGGGGAAAATACACTCTTTTCAATATCCTCAATAACCCTGGGAAAGACAAAGATTTCTTAAAGGGGCCCCAAAAGCACTACCGAAAAAGGAAAAGATGGATGTATTTCACTACATTAAAAATCAAGAATACCTGTTCGTCAAAAGATATCATTAATAGAGTGAAAATGCAAGTCATAGAGTGGGAGAATATATTTGCAATATATAACTGATAAAAGGCTAATGTCAAGAATATACAAAAAAATTCCTACAAATCTATACAACAAAGGCAGACTACTCATTTTTTTTTTTAAAGAGACATACACAGGCACTTAACTAAAGATGATATTCAAATGGCCAATAAATATATGAAAAGGTGTACAGCAAGGAAATGCACATAAAAATTATAATAAACTACTACTACACATTCAACAGACTGGCTAAAATTAAAAAGACTATACAAAGTGCTGACAAGGGTGTGGAACAAATCGAACTCACACATGGTTGTATAAATTGATACAAGCACTTTGGAAAACTGGTATTATCTACTAAAACTCAATGTACACATGGCTCAGGAATTCCACTCCTAGTCATATACCTAACAAAAATGCTAACATATGTGTGCCAAACTACGTTTACAAGAATGTTCATAGCAGTATATCATAATAATCCCAATCTGGGGGAAAAATCAACAGAACAGATAAAATTAAACAATGGTGACAATAAATGAAATACTGCTATATGAAACTTGGCTGAATCTCACAAATGCAATGTTGAGCAAAAGAAGCCAAACACAAAAAGAATACATACTGTCTGAATCCATTTGTATAAAGTTTGTAGGGAAAAAAGCAAAACTAATCTCTGGTGTTAAGGTAGTGGTTACTTGTAGGGAGGATGGAGCGTTAGTGACTGGGAGAAGGCACAAGATGGGCTTCTGGGATGCTAGTAGATCCTACTTCCTGATCTGGGTGGTCATTACACGGTGTCCACTCTGTGAAAATTCATCTAGCTATATACTCACGATCTGTACACTTCACTGTATGTTATTCTTCAATTTAAAAATGTGTTAAAAATCTTGAAGATAAAATCAAATGAGTCTTTGGTAAACAACCAAACCAATAAATAATAAAACAAGCAATGAGAAACTCCAAAAAAACACAGAGAGCATAAAAGAGCATTAAAGGCCAAATAGAAGAAAACATTAGCAACCCATGGTACCACAAGAACAGAGAATTCATTCATTATTATTAGAAATGTCCTCCTTTAAATGACTCATTCAACCTATGAACAAAATATGGAAGATATGGTTGTTGCAGGACAGATTATAAATGTTAACAACCTTGGCAACGTAAAAATAAATATGTAGCTACAAGAAGAAAGTTGGAAGAAAGAGAAGGGATCGCTAAAGGAGAGTCAAGGTACTGACTAAAACAGAAAGAGAACCTAAGATACGAGATTAAATAGGTAACCAACAGATGTGCTCCAAAATAATACAAAAGGGAGAGAAGTGGGTAGACAAACAACACTGGCATGTACTAATAATTGCTTTAGCTGGGTAATGGATACAAGGGCTCTGTTATACTGTTCTGTTACTTTTATTTATGTTTGAAGTTTTCCATAATAAAAAGTTTTTTTCTCTAAAGGTAACCAAGAGTAAAACATAATACACCTATCAAACACTGGAAAGAGAAGGGAAAACGGGAGGTAGTGTGAACTAAACCTTTCATGGCCAGAAATCTATAAAGTTGAAAAATTGAAAAACAGAGGTATAAACATTATGGACACAACTAGAAATGACTAAAAAGGTGGCCTCTCTGAAGTCAAAGTGGGAGTGGAAGGTGTGAGGCATAAAAATCTTTTTCACTACAAGCTTTTTTCAAAGAATTGGTTATCAGTTTAATTAAATATTTTTAAATAAAAATTATTTTGTTTTAAAAACTGATAAAATGTTTAATCATCAGAAAAAAATAATGGCAGTTAAGATGCTTAATTATTTATACTTTAAATAAACAATCAGCCCATAAAATGGAAGGATCTATAATACACTTTAAACAATACTACCAAGTATCTAAACACCATTCTTAAATATATTATAATTTTTAGATTATATCTTAAAATAAAAATAAATTATCCCACCAGATTGTTTCTTAATTTAAATGAAATTAGTAATCTAATTATTAGATTAAATAAGAATAAAATTCTAAAATCGTTAAAAATCATTCCTGCATTTTGCCATTATGATCTAAAATCCAAGCAAGTTGGGGCCGGCCCCGTGGCGTAGTGGTTAAGTGCGCGTGCTCCACTGCTGGCGGCCTGGGTTCAGATCCTGGGTGTGCACCAAGGCACCGCTTGTCAAGCCATGCTGTGGCGGCGTCCCATACAAAGTGGAGAAAGGCACAGATGTTAGCCCAGGGCCAGTCGTCCTCAGCAAGAGGAAGATTGGCATGGATGTTAGTTGGGGGCTGATCTTCCTCACAAAAACAATAAATAAATAAATAAAATAATATAAAATCCAAGCAAGTCAATTTGTCATATTTTTAAACTGTCAAGTCATTAAAAGCTGATAACATATTGTACAACAAGATTAATTATCTTACCTCCTTTTCTTCACCAACTTGGTCCAAACTCTCATGACTTGAAGGAGTATATGGAATTACTAAAAACCCAGTCCCAAACATAAAAAAAAGAGGAGAAAAACATAGCACCCATTAACTGAGTGTGACTTAAAATTTTCTATTGATTTGGTTTTTTTTAGTTTTTATTTCTGAACAAGTTTTCATCATTTAAAATTGAATAGCTGTCCTACTAATAACAAACGGTACATAAATATGAGCTAAATTCTAATCTTTAATGAGGGTAAAGAGAACAAGAACCAATCAGTAGCCAAGTACTGATTTTAACAACTATTTTTGCTATTTTAAAAACACTTCTCTTCTTTACAAATTAATTCCTTCTATAAGAATGACTCTATTAACCCTTTTTAATTATTTTAGTATGACTGAGGCATAGAGATAGAGGGGGTCTCTGGTTTTCAATCCTCACTTACTTTACACTCAAAACGTTCCTGACTACCATACCACATAGGTCAGGTAAGAAAATGACAAAGATTGGACTCTGGGCTTCTATCCTTTCCAGCTACTTCGGGCAAAAAAAAAAGCCTACATTTCATATAACCAGCTTCTTCCATGAACAAGAGACTGCATTCTGTCCTTCCAAAAAAAACTCCCTTGCCTTCCCATTCTTGGTTCATCCCAAATCAGGCTGCTCTGTACCATTTAATTGTTCTCCAAATTTACCAGATACATATTTAAGGTTTTGTATATATTTAACATTTGAACTCACATGATCTTGTTTGAATTTTCTATACTGTACCTCTGTTATCTTTTACATAAAATCTATTTCCGATAATAAAGCTTTTAATAAAAATAGGTCACTTGAACATAGTCAACATGGTCCACAAAATCATGTTTTCATATTAAAAAAAACTAGGTTTGCTGAATTTAAAGGGGTTTCAAAATAAATTTGTCTGAATTAGAGAAAATAGTGATTTGTTATGGTTTACACAGCTGTCTTTTTAAAATGCCAAATGTATTTGTTAAATATCATGACTGATACTACCACCACAAAATACGGTTACCTAAATTTTATTTGGAAAGAACATAAATGCTTTTAAACTTGGGTGAAAGAGTCACCTAAAGAAGTCCTTAAATAATACTTTGTTAATGAACAATGGTTCGTGCCAGCGTCATTCTTACCTGTCTGTGCGTGGTCTGCATGCATGGATGACTGATCCATGGGCATCATTGGTTCCTACAAACATTTCCAAAGATATGGTAAGTTAGTGGATTCTTTTTAAATCCCAATACCTCTATAAATCCAGAAACAACACGATTTCGATGATACACAGCATATTAAAGCTTAAATTTGAAAGAACATAACCTAATAAAGTAAGAATTACATTATTATACTTAATTTATTTTTAATTTTATTTAATGAAACCATACACATTCCTATGAATGTGCAAATGGTAGTCACATTTTACAGATAACAGAAGAAACACAAAACTAATTTCAGACCGTCAATTAGAAATAAAATTAAACTCGTATGTACTCTGATTTGTTTCTCTTTTACACTACCAATTCTTCCTTTGAACTCTATAAACTCACTATAAGTCTTTGGCAAAAGGATTTTCTAGTTCATGAGTTCTTTAGCTGAGGTCCAGAGATAGACTTTAAGACGTCTATAAACCTCTTGAAATTATATGTAAAATTTTGTGGGTTTCCAATTTTACCAAAAGAGGAAAATAAATATCTCCTAGAAACTGACTTAACCAACAAACTGCCAATAACCTCTGGCACAACGCTAATTCAAACCAAAGTGTTACTAATTCATTAATCTTGGACCCAAGCTTAATGAATAACAGCAAGAAAGGGTAAACTTGAGAAGGAGCATTAGTTATACAGTTATAATTTTAACACTGTGTTAAAGATAGGCTCACGGATTTTTCAATGCGTTTAGCACCCATCCTAAAATATCAATATAAGCACTAACCCTGTCCCTCTCGCCTTCTACATTTATGAACTTACACAAGTCATTCCATCACCTGGAACTCCATCACCAAGTCATTCCATCACCATTCCATAAAGAATACTCAAGAATATCAACAGTAACTTGGATAAATTATGCTCACAATTTTTGGCCTTCTGTTTTTCCTTAAGATTGGATTTTCATCTCCCTAACTACAAACCCATTCCTAAGCTCATATGAACTAGCTAAATAATTCTAATATCAAAGAGCTACCAATAATAACCTACTTTCCCAACATCCAAAAAAGGTACTATGAATAAACGTGGTATAGTCATTCTAGAAGACAATTTAGAAAGATTCATCCAAATCTTTTTAAAAATGCATACCCTTTAACCCAGTAATTTTACTTTTGGATCCTTAAGGAAATACTAAGATTGATTTATCAGGAAGTTCATCATGATTTTCATTATAGGAAAATTTAGAAAACAACTCAAATGTTCAATCATGGGGAAAAGGTTAAATAAATTATTATTATATAAATAAAGGTATAACAAAATATTATGCTAAAAATTATGAGGATATAGAGAGATATAGAAAGATCACCAAAATATATTGTTTAGTGAGAAAAATGGGTTATAAAACATTACATATAATGATCTCACTTTTGTTAAAAAGTATGTAAAACAACAAGACACAAACATGTCATGCTTTCTGATGGATAAATACTCCATCTCCTATAAAGTAGTCTCAAAAACAACCCACAAAAAACCCAAAAACCAGAATCTAATCAAATCTCTAGATCCAACTATAATATACAGAAAATAAAGAAAACAGGGGAACATTTTAAACACAACCATGGAGAAGCAAAGAGAAAAAGTCTATGACACTGTAAATGACAACACAGTTTCTTCTACAATTAAATTATAAGGGAAAAAAGAGAGAGAGAGATGGAGGAATCAGTAAATTAAAAAATATCTAAGACATATCAATCAATTGCAAATATGGACTTCATTTGGGTTCTGATTCATAATGAAAACTATTAAAAAAATATAATATTTATGAGATAAAAATTTTGAACACTCCTGAATGAATATTTTATATAAGGAATTTGTTTTTTAGTTAGTTTTTAAAGCATCCTTATCTTTTAGAGGTACATACTGAAATATGTCTGGGATATTTCAAAATAATACAGGGTGAGGACAGGTTAAATGGATGGGGTATAGATGAAACAAGATTGGTCATGCATTGATAACTGCTGGAGCTGACCGACTGGTATATGGAAGTTCATTATACTGTTCCATCTACTATTAAATATGTTTAAATTTTTTTATTTATGTTTAAAATTTAAAATGTTTATACATATAAATTTGCACAGAAAAATTTCTGGAAGGATATACACCAAATGACAATTACCTTTAGATGGTAGATTTCATGGGGATTTTTATTTAATTTTTCTTTATTCATTTGTATTTTCCATAATGAACATGTTTTAATTACATACTTAAAATAGAAAGTGAAAAATAAAAATTTTAAATGCAAAACCTCCCCAGTAATCTCATACTTTAAATAGCAAACATGAAACCTATGACTCCTCTTACCTGATTTCTGCTTAGTGTAGATGCTAGAATAATAGGAGCTATAAACTAAGGAGCTTAGCTTAAAGAAGAGAAAAAAAAATCTCTTAAATGGTTCCCCCTACATCTTCCTAATTTAGACCAGATGATTTTATAGCAGGGTAAACAAAGTTAACTATATTCTACAAAAAAATTTGTAATAACAATTCCAAAATTCCCAGTACATTAACTGAACTGTAAAGTATCCCTACTCATTCTGCCACAACAATGTTGAGCTGTGATTCCTTAATATCTGCCTATTTTAGCCCTCTGTTCTAGTAGTGTTATCACAAATGCTCTATTAAAAAAATAGACAATTAGGGGCTGGCCAGGTGGTGTAGTGGTTAAGTTCATGCACTCCGCTTTGGTGGCCCAGGGTTCACCAGTTCGCATGGACCTATGCACCGCTTCTCAAGCCATGCTGTGGCAGGCATCCCACATATAAAGGAGAGGAAGATGCGCACGGATGTTAGCCCAGGGCCAATCTTCCTCAGGGGGAAAAAAAAAAAACAGGCAGATTGGCAACAGACGTTACTGCCTCAGGGCTAACCTTCCTCGCGCGCGCGAGCACGCGCGCGCACACACAAAAGACAATTACATCTTACCGGTGGCAAAGAATGCCGCCCACATTCAATTGTGACAAGTTTGTGGCACTTCTTATGAACCAGGAGTTTGCAGTTGATGCACTTATATCCCTGGCGTCCAAGTCCCCATATTCGGTCAGTGCAGATGGCGCAGTGGGCACGCTGGAAAGAGCAATTAATTCAACAGTATTTTATCAACAAAAAAAGGTCACAATCATTTCCCAACAGTTTGCTCATGAAACAGTGAAAATAAGTGACTTTCTTCTCTAACTCAATTCCCTTCATCATACATAACTTTTCCAAAGCTGTGATGGTCAGGGAAAAATAAAGAGAAAAGAGAGCTTGTTTTAAAGAGAGTGAAATTTGCAACCATGTTGTTTTCTGTTACAAGTCCAAGAATTTTCATTCTTCACATAATTAAGTTCAGAGAAATGAAAATACGAAGTGAATTAAACTTGAAAAACATGGCAGAAAAAGCTGCCATGTTACAAAAGTGTAAGGACTCCCAACAAACATAAACCTTCCAGACTGTGCAGAGCTCAAACCAAAGCCCAGCTCTCTTAAAGAGCAACACCTAGAGTGACTTCTCATTTTAACTTCTCTTGTTCCCAGTACTGCTGGGAACAAGAGTTTGGGAACCTCAGGTGGTGGCTTCTATTTACATTAACGAATTCAGAACATGGCACTAGTTTTAGAATGGAAATGGAGTCCATAAATTTGTAGTTATCAAGAGTAGTTAAAAACATGGACTTCTGGAGACAGATTGCTTTCATACTTTGGCTTTGCCACTTACTAGCTGTGTCATCTTGGGTAAGTTATTTAAGTGCCCTGGACCTCAGTTTTTTCATCTATAAAATGGGGCCGGCCCCGTGGCACAAGCGGTTAAGTGCTGGCACTCCACTGCGGTGGCCCCGAGTTCGCCAGTCGGATCCCAGGAGCACACCGACGCACTGCTTGTCAAGCCGTGCTGTGGCAGCATCCCATATAAAGTGGAGGAAGATGGGCATGGGTGTTAGCCCAGGGCCAGTTTTCCTCAGCAAAAAGAGGAGGGTTGGCAGATGTTAGCTCAGGGCCGATCTTCCTCACACACACACACAAAGGAAATATATAGTACCTATCTCTCAAGGGTGTTGTAAGGATTAAAGGAGTCAATATATGTTAAGCATTTGGAAAAGTGCCTGAGACATAGTAAAAGCTAGATAAGTGTTTGCAATTACTATTTTCTAAACAGTGAAAATTAAAATTACAACATAAAGTGGCTTGCAAAATAAACCTTGCTTATTTTCTGGCTGTCTTGAATTGTATTAAAAAATCCAACTTTCTTATAGTTGGGTAACCATATAATTAATCATCCAATCTGGAACATTTTTAAGAGTGAGAGGAGATGCTATTAAAAATTACCTCAAGATAACAGGTGTACTGCCCCAGGGAAACTGGGAATGTTAGGTCACCCTGCTTACTCCTTTAAAAGGGAATAACAAGACTACCTTTCTTTCATAGTAGAGAGGAAACAATTGATATCTCAAATTATCAACATTCAACAAACTAAGGTTTACCCTGTTGAAACGCTTGGCTTGAAAAGTGTGGCCATTTGCACAATAAAGCTTTCTCCAGCGGCGTGCACCTCTGCGGTAGATGGATTCTGGAGAGAGATTAAAAGTTAAAAAAAGAAAAAAAAAAGAGCAAGTGTGAATAAAATTCATTTTATAATTGTCCGTGATTTTTTCATGATATTCATTGCAAGAAAAAAATGTATACTGATAAAAACTTGAAAGTGAAAAAATAAAATGGATTCATCAAGGGACTAGATGAAAATAAAGCCTATGGAGTATAAATGTTTGAATAACTATTATTACTTTTCTGTTTTTTAATTTCCCCCCAACTTTTAATTTGAAAATTTTTTAAGCCCTCAGAAAACTTGAAAGAATAGAACAATAAATACCTGCATACTTCGCCTAGATTTACTAAGTGCTAACATTTTGCCACATTTGCTTTCCTCTCTATTTACATAACACTTTTCTTCTGAATCATTTAAAACTAAGTTGCAGACATCATAACACTTCACTCTTAAATACCTAAGTATTCACTGCCTGAGATTAAAGACATTCCCCCTAATTCTACTTAACCACAATACCATTACCATGTCTTAGAAAATTAACATTAATTCAATATCACCTAATATATACAGTTCACGTGCAAATTTCCCTATTAGCACTCAAAGTGTCTTTCATAGCTTTCTTTTTCTCTCCAGGATCCAATCAAGATTCCGGCACCGCATTTGGTTGCTATACCTTTTTTGTCTCTTTAATGTATCCTAAAACATTCATTCTGCCTTATTTGTTGTTTGTGTTTCATGATGTTGACTTTTTTTAAAAAGAGTTCAGGCAGTTGTCTTATATTATGTCCTACATTCTGGATTTGTCTGTTTCCTCATTAGACTCAGTATTAAAATTTATGGCAAAAATGATACATAGGTCATGTGTGTTTCTTACTGTACCACATCAAGAGATACACAAATGTCAGATTGTTGACTTCCACTACTGGTGTTCAATCACTCTGTTGAAGGCAGTGATTGCCAGTTCTCTTTACTGTAAAGGTACATTCTACAGTAAGTACTCTATAATGGACACTTTGTAACCACAAGAATATTCTCTTCCCCAACAATCTTTTATCCAATAGTTTTTATATTAATACTTTTCCTAAATAAACTAAGAGGTTCCACAAGATCAAATCTAGTCCACCTGCATAATTTCGGTTAAGTCAATCACTATTATATATATTGTCCATTACTCATTAATAGTAATATTCCACAGTAATCATTTAATACTGTGGAAAGATTCCATTTGCTTTCTCAAGTCATATTTTAAAGCAAATGTGGCACTAGGTTTACTACTTAAAATTACAATAGAAAAGACCAGTTAAAATGCTTTGAATTAGAAAGCATAATACAGAAAGAACTTTAAATATAGATGCTTTTATTTTTAATTATTTATTCTGTTAGGAGTAACCAAAGCAGAAAGTCTCTGTTAATAATATCTTAACCTAAAAAAACAACCTATTTCAGAAGCTTTCATGAACTACAACTTGATATATCTTAAATTTAAACAAGTTAATGTTGCCTAGGAATTAAAAGAGCCAAGAGAACCCATTAATGGTTATCAATTTTTCTCCATGCTTTAGTTTAGTAATATTTATTACACTAGGAGAGAAGAGTGATGTCAAAATCCCCACCAGCAATTTTTTTTTTTTTTGCTGAGGAAGATTTGCCCTGAGCTAACATCCGTTGCCAATCTTACTCTTTTTGTAAGTGAGCCGCCCCCACAGCATGGGCACTGACAGACAACTGGTGTAGGTCTGTGCCCAGGAACTGAACCCAGGCTGCCAAAGCAGATTGCACTGAACTTAACCATTAAGCCACAGAGGCTGGCCCCCCAGCAGGAAATTTTAAAGAGGGAAAGTGAATATAAAATAGAGTGAAAAGTTAGGAAATATTTTATCTGTGAAGTGTGCTACAGACCCATAAAAGATCTGCTACAATGGCAAAACTCTGGCCTGGACAGAGAGGACAGCTCCTTCTCCAGTAGCTCTGTGAAGGCAGCCTACACAGCTTATCCACCTGCCACTGGAACGCCAATGATATATTCCTAGCTGAATCCTAACCTGAATTTTTCACTATTGCTTCAGGGTTCTACCTACTCCTTATATTTCCCCATCTTCCTATATAGTACATAGTCCCCACTCAACTCTATATACAAATACCCATAGTTAATTTTTCTTTTTCACCAAGTTTCATGAAGAGTCATAGAATTAAAAGTTTAGAACTATTTCCCTGAATTCAAAGCAAAAATTTACCACTGTTCCTTCTAAAGTTATGGATATGTGTAGAAACCACAAATGAAAATGAGTTGCCTACTATCTACAGCTAATAAATTATACCATATATCAAAAGCAATAACTTATGATCATACATAAGTTTTCATATTTAAATTACAGGCCAAAGATTTGATTCTTTCAATTCATCTCATTAATGGTAACCACTAGCTTAGACATTCAAAAGAAAATCCCACAACAATTCCTAAGAACACAGGTTGAAGTACTTAGAGGTGAAGTGTCATGTCAGTTACTTACTCTCAAAGGGTATAGCAAAAAAATAAATAAAAATAAAACAGGTGTATTTGTTATGGATATATATGTATGCATATGTGTGCACACATACAGAAACAGAGATAAAGCAAACACAAACAATGTTAATAATTGGTGAATCTAGGCAAAGGATATATGAGTATCTTTGTTTTCAATGTTGTTTCAACTTCTCCATAGGTTTGAAATTTCCAAAACTAAAAACCAGGAAGAAACATGACTTAAAATTAACTTAATTTTCCTTTCAAATGTGCAAGAGACCATTTTGTCAGTAAGTTGTAACTAAGAACTGCCTGATTTTGATATGGCAAAACTTAGTTTAGGCAGTTGCTAATATATTCTAAATTAGATTGAAGAATGGAAAAGAAATCAAGTGAATTAAAAGTTCTATTTCTGACTTCTTTTCACTTGTGCCACTGTATCATAAATAACTCTCTTCAAAGGTACGAAGTATATAGACACTCACTATCTTCTCCTGGACAGGGCATTCCAGGACGTTCTGGTACACAAGGGAATACTGAAAAAAAATAAACTAACATTAACACAGCATATTTAAAACATACATATTACATACAAATTTTAAATTCAAATATCAAAAAAAATGACCCCGGGGGGCCAGCCCGGTGGCAAGGTGGTTAAGCCCGTGCGCTCTGCTTTGGTGGCCCAGGGTTCGCAGGTTCAAATCCTGGGCGCGGACGGACGCACCGCTTGTCAAGCCATGCTGTGGCGGCATCCCATATAAAGCAGAGGAAGATGGACACGGATGTTAGCCCAGGGCCAGTCTTCCTCAGCAAAAAAGAGGAGGATTGGCATCAGATGTTAGCTCAGGGCTGATCTTCCTCACAAAAAAAAAAAAAAAATGACCCAAATTCAACATGACCCTCTCTTGACACAAGATACTTAGCATATGGTCAGTATTACTTTTTGAAGGATCCACTTTACCAAAGCTATATGAAAGAAGTTTTTATGAAAGTGAACATCCATAAACAATGCATTAGAAGCTCAAATTACTCATTCCACTCCCTGTTACATCACTAATCGATTTTCTTTTGCCCTTAGAGACATCATTAACTATCTCTTTAAATCCTTGTTGTAGTAACAAGTTTGCTACAATGAAGAAGTAAAATTAAATTACAAAAAGGAATACAAAAATGAACATAGCGGGCCGGCCCTGTGGCTTGGTGGTTAAGTGCGCGCGCTGCAATGCTGGTGGCCCGGGTTCGGATCCTGGGTGCGCATCGAGGCACCACTTCTCCGTCCATCCTGAGGCCGAGTCCCACATGCAGCAACTAGAAGGATGTGCAGCTGTGACATACAACTATCTACTTTGTATGTCAAAGTAGGGGCTTTGGGGGGAAAAAATAAAATAAATAAAATCTTTAAAAAAAAAAAAAAAAAAAATGAACATAAACCATTACAGTATTTAAAAGATGTATACTAACTTTAGGAATAAATGAACACCAGAAACAGTACCCAAATCCAAAAATGTAAGTTTTATCTTCGAAACTATAAATTTACAAACATGCTATTATAAAGAGACAGACTATAAAGAAATAGTACGTTAATGAACATCTAGTCAACTATTTGTATTTTGTGATGTACAAAAGGACATGGTTTAATAAAGAGCACAGAGCACGAGAACACAGTTCCTAATACATTTTTAAAAGTTGAATATAAGCTAACTTCTGAAAATGGATCTGTGATATGGTACAAAAAGCAATAAAACTTAAAACAAACTGAGTGTTTAATACTATCGGTCAAGCATTTCTTAAACATTCCTTGTAGTTCTACTTTAGAAAGAGATGACAAAAAAAAAGGGATGACTTCTCAAGTTCTGCTAGGATCTCAACAAATCAGATTCTGGATCCCCTGGGAGTCACTATGCCAAATTCTGAAGGTAGAAAAAAATCAAACTACTGTTTTTTAAAAAACACACTTAAGGAAAAGTATAATGGAATAATAACAAGGTACTGAAACAATTCATTATACTTAGGGGAGCCTTATATTTGTTTCAAGTTTTAAAGAGTTCCCTAGGACTAGTCTCCTAAAGCTCCCAAAAATGTTACATAAAATATTGCCAATGTATTGTAATTAAATGCAGTATACTAAGTGGGCTCTACATGACCTAAAAAATTTGAGGGGTAGCATGACAGAATGAAAAGAACATAGGTTTGGAATCAGAATATCTAGATTGACAACCCAGGTCTACAATGTACCAGTTACATGATGGCTGAGTTTAGGTCTCTTCTACACCACTATCCACCTCTCATAACGTCTGTAATAACTATGGAAATAGTTTCAGTGCTAACCCTTAAACAAAAGAGAGGACATTTAAGATATCTTTGGAGATCATTATTTGCATATATTACAAGACTGCAAGGGGATGGCCTTAGGGTCTACTAGGTTCTCAATTCTTAAATTCTATCCTATACTTTGCTGTGATACACTGAGAGATGATCACAGTTTAACATCCAAGAAGGCATACACAAATAACAAATTTCCCATGACTATAAGAAGCTGATTGATTTTATCTTCTCTAGCATTTGAGAAATTGCCAAGTAAAAACAATTACATAGCGATGAGGGATAGAGATTTAAAAAATGACATCAGGATTATGTGTTAAGAAGGTCAAGAATATACGGTTATTTAAAGAAAAAAAAACAATTCTAGAAGAGTAAGAAACGACTACTCCTTTACCATGAATCAAGAGTTCAGAATCCTTGTTTAGCTCATAAAGCCTAAAAGCTTCTTCTAACTCCAACTGCGATGATACTGTACACGGGTCTCCTAAAAAACATAAAAAGTAAAGTAAAACTCACTTCAAATCCTCTAAATGTGATGATCAGTAAACAATTTCCATCACATAAAATCTTGAGGAAAAACAATTACATATATACATAGAGAAATATCTGACAAGGACAAATCTTTAGATGTTTATTTAGACAATTCTATTCTTTAAAGTAACATAATTTCCATTTCTATTTCTACAAAATATTACATGAGGTTCATAGATACCAACCTTTATACATACAAAACCATTTAATTCTCAAAAATGTATATTCAAAATGTAGCAAACAGAATCTGCCCTGAGTACATTTTAGATTGTCACTGCAATATGACTAATAGCCAGGGACAAGATTTGTGTTACCTGTTTCTTTAAAAGAGGAAGTGGACGTGGTTTCACTGCCACAATATGGTCAGTAAGAGGTCTCCATGTAATCATTTTGTCAAAATTTTCCTTCACCTGAGAGACTACTCAGGCTCACAGAAAGGAAGCACACCTACCAAAGTACCCTGGTCTGAAGAGCAGTCCTATGTGAGCTACTTTTAAATGGAAATGCATTTGTTTTAGTAAACTTACACACAGAGAGGGAAAGGAAGAAAACACCTCCCTTAGTCAACCAGCCAAAGAACTGAGTCATCCCTGGCAATCACTGAGATGGCACATCTCCCTGTATGATGGCATTCCTCAACGAAAAAGTCATTTCGAACATAGTTGGGGCCTGAGCTGGGTCCTCCACACTGCCATTCTCTTGCTCATTCCTGTGGTTACACCAAATGATACCACACACTAGATGCCACCAACCCTGTCCCAAACCTCAGTCACTCTCAGCAGTGAATGCAGTCTACTACTTGAGAGAGAAAAACGAAGTCATGTCTTTCCCAGGCATCTCAAAGAAATGAGTGCTTCTGTTCTTTTCTCCAACTTGGCTGCTGACTCCCTACTTCCTTTTATCTTCTCCGGGGTTGTTCCATTATTCCTCCTCAGCTCCATTTTCATTTTTATTTTCCTCCCACTAGCTTTTCTCAGGCTAAGGCATGTTTGAGTCTCCCTCTCACAAATCTCTTTCCCACTCAGGTTGCCATTCCATTCATTCAGTAGCCACCTACCTGTCTCAAGAGTAAACTGTAGACTAAAACTGGAGGGGGTGTGTGAGAAGAAGGGGAAGAAAAAGGGGCAGGGTCTCTGATTTTTGACTTCATACTTCTCTTTTGTATTTTTTTAATCATAGGCTTATAATCTTTTAGATTTATTAGAAACAACTTTTCTTAATGTTAGGAGTGATCCCATCCTGCTTTTTCCATGTTCCTATCTTCCATGCATTTCTCAAAAGTCTGCTCTCATGTTTTAGTCCAAACACTCTACTAAAACTGCTGTATCTAAGGTCATGAAAAAGCTGCTGTAGTCAATGGCATCTCCTCTGTCTTTATTCTAGGTGCCCTCTCTATAGTACCTCACAAAGTTGCTCATTGACTATTTACAGAAACTCTGTGTCTAGGTTTCTAAAACACCATTCTCCTGGTTTACCAACTCTTCTTTTTAACTTTTTATTTTGGAAACTTTCACATATATTACAAAATCTTGTTTTACCTGCATGTCCCTCCCACTGTATTATTCTGAGTAAATCTCTATAACTCCAGATAAAAATTCTTTAATATAATCACAATACCATTAAAAACCTATAATAACTAACAAAAATTCAGTACAAAATACCCAAACATACCTATACACAAAAGAATGAAGTTGAACTTTTATTTAATACCATAAACAGGGCTGGCCCTGTGGCTTAGTGGTTAAGTGCACGCACTCCACTACTGGCGGCCCGGGTTCGGATCCCGGGCGCGCACCGATGCACCACTTGTCCGGCCCTGCTGAGGCCACGTCCCACATACAGCAACTAGAAGGATGTGCAACTATGACATACAACTATCTACTGGGGGCTTGGGGGAAAAAAAAAAAGAGGAGGATTGGCAATAGATGTTAGCTCAGAGCCAGCCTTCCTCAGCAAAAAAGAGGAGGATTCAGCAGGATATTAGCTCTGGGCTGATCTTCCTCACACACACACAAAAAAATACCATAAACAAAAATTAACTCAAAATGGATCAAAGACCTAAATGTAAGAGCTAAAACTACAAAATTCTTGCAAGAAAACATAGAGAGAGAGCTTCATGACATTGCATTTGGCAAATGATTTCTTGGATATGACACCAAAAGCAGGCAAAAAAAAAAAAAAAAGAGAAATTGGTCTACACCAAAATTAAAAACTTTTGTGCATCAAAGAACACTATCAATACAGTGAAGACAACCTATGGATGAAAATATTTGCAACTCATACATCTGATAAGGGATTAATATCTAGAATATATAAAGAACTCCTACAATTCAATAATGATGACAAAAAAAAAAAACACCCAGTTAAAAAAAATGAGCAAAGGACATTTCCCCAAAGAAGATATACAAATGGCCAATAAGCACATGAAAAGATGTTCGACATCATAATGATTAGGAAGATGCAAATCAATGAGATACCACTTTATCCCATAAGGATGGCTATTATAAAACAAACAAAAAGACCCCAGAAAATAAAAAGCATTAGCAAGAATGTGGAGAAATTGGAACTCTTGTGCACTGATGGTGGGAATGTAAAATGGTGCAGCCACCTCAAAAAATAAAACATAGAATTACCATACGATCCAGCAATTCCACTTCTGTATTTATATCCAAAAGAATTGAAAGCCGAGACTCTAACAGATATTTGTACACATATGTTCACAGCAGCATTATTCACAACAGTCAAAAGGTGGAAGCAACCCAAGCACCCAAAAATAGATGAATGGATAAACAAAATGTGGTATATACATACAAAGGAATATTATTCAGCCTTCAAAAGGAAGGAAATTCTGACACATGCTACAACATGGATGAACCTTGAAGACATTATGGTAAGTGAAATAAGCCAGTCACAAAAGGGCAAATACTACATGATTCTATTTACAAGAGGTACTTAGAGTAGTCAAATTCATAGAAACAGAAAGTAGAATGGTGGGGAAATCAGGAGTTGTTTAACGGGTATAGAGTTTCAGTTTGGGAAGATGAAAAAGTTCTGGAATGTGCACCTGGACTGGCTCTGTCACTACAGTAACTAAGAAAAAGCCACAAAGTGGTGCTGTGCCAGTTCTAGGCTTCAGCCTGAAAAAGGTCTGGCACTTTTTACTTTTTGTGCTTTTGGAAGCCCTGAGCTGCCATGCAAGAGGTTCGGTTACCTCTGTTGTAGAGACAATGAGGAGAAACCAGAGAGAGAGCAGAAGCCCTGAGACTACACAGAGAGGGAGAGAGAACCAACTGTGCCAGCATCCCAGGTGAGCCTTCACATGACTCCAGACCCAGCTGCCACCTGATTGCCATTGCATGTGAGACCAGCAGAGCCAGTCACCTCACAGAAGTGTGAGAGATTATAAAATAAAATGGTAGGGCCGGGCCCGTGGCTTAGCGGTTGGGTGCGCGCGCTCCGCTGCTGGTGGCCCGGGTTCGGATCCCGGGCACGCACTGACGCACCGCTTCTCCGGCCATGCTGAGGCCGTGTCCCACATACAGCAACTAGAAGGATGTGCAGCTATGACATACAACTATCTACTGGCGCTTTGGGGGAAAAAATAAAAAAATAATAAAAAAAAAAAAGGTAGGGTTTTTTTACAGCTACTAAGCTTCGAGGTGATTTGTTATGTAACAAACACCTTCCTACCATCCTTCAAGTTGAATCCTGAAATTCTGGTAATCATAAAGACCCAGGACAAATGCTACCTATTCTGAAAAGCCTTACCTAAGGAGGTAATATTTCACATTTTCAAAAAAATGCTAAATATAATCTACTAATTTTTTAACAACAGCTTTATTAAGATATAATTCACATAGCATTCAATTTACGCAAAGTGTACAATTCAGTGGTTGAAAGTATGTTCACAGAGCTGTGCAACTATCGCCGTAATCAGTTTAAGAACATTTTCATTACCTCCCTCTCAAAAAAACCCCTTGCCTATCAGCAGTCACTCCCCTCGTCCCCTCAACCTCTCCTCCCACTGCCAGACCCAGGCAACCACTGATCTACTTTCAGTTTCTATAGATTTGCCTTTTCTGGACATTTCATATAAATCAAGTCATACAATATGTGGTCTTTTATGTCTGGCTTTTTTTGCTTAGAATGTTCTCAACGTTCATCCATGCTGTAGTATGTATTAGTATTTCAGTCCTTTTTATTAGTGAATAATATAGTAAATATTCTTGAATGAAATATTTGTGTTTGAGTAACTTTTCATAATTTCCTAGAAGTAGAACTGATTGGTTCAAAATATGCCCATTTAGAATTTTAACAATTATTCCAATTGAAAGTAACTCCAAAAAGGTTATGACATATACATTCAACCAACAGTTTATCTTTGCTAATTCTCTATAGGTAATTATTAAATTTTAAATACTTTCTAATCTGATAGGTGAAAACTGATGTCTTATTTTTAAATCTTTGTTTCTTTAATTATTAGTGATCCTTGAGTTTTTTTGTCATTTATGAATTAGCTATTTGCACCTCTTTAAGTAGATTTTTCATCTGTTTTTGACAATTATTTTATATTAGAAATAGCAATCCTTTGCCAATGTTACAAATATTTTCTCTCAGTTGCTACTATTCTTATATCTGTGATTATGGTGTTTTTGTTTTTGTTTTGTTTTTTATAATTTTTATTTATTTATTTTTCCCCCAAAGCCCCAATAGATAGTTGTATGTCATAGCTGCACATCCTTCTAGTTGCTGTATGTGGGACGAGGCCTCAGCATGGCCGGAGAAGTGGTGTGTCAGTGCGTGCCCGGGATCCGAACTCGGGCCACCAGCAGCGGAGCGCGTGCACTTAACCACTAAGCCATGGGGCCGGCCCGATTATGGTGTTTTTTGACATATAGAATTAGGAAAAACCTTTCCTCTTTACATTCACTTTTTCAGAATTTTCCTGTTTAT